ACATGTGTGTCCTATTTATTTCACTTAAGAGTATGGCCTCGATATGCAGCCATTTAGCTATAAATGACTCTAGGTTTTCATTCTTTATGGCTGAGTAGTGCTCCATTTTATAAAAAACCCCACATCTTCTTTGTTCACTCTCCAGTTGATGGGCACTTGGGCTGCTTCCAAGCTTTAGCTATTACAAACTGTGCTCCTATGAACATGGCTACACTTTCGCTTCAGTTTTTATTTGATTTCTACCTGGTTCTTTTCCAGAATCTCTGGGTCTTTGCTGAAGTTGTCTTTCATATCTTTCATTGTCTTCCTTAATTCATTCAACTGCATATTTGTCTGTTCTTTGAGCTCATCCATTATCCTAGCAGTTGAGTAGGAGAGGTGCTTGTATGGCTCTTCTTTGATGTGATTAATCATTTGAACTATCAGTTTAAAATTTTTTTTTTCTGGAGTTTCATCCACTTCAACATCTGTGTGATCAGCTTTTGGGAGGTTTATGTGTTTTGGAAGCCTCTAGACTGTGGCTCCTGTGAGATCCATAGATGGGCAGCTCTCTCCTATTTTCTCCAGCTCTGACCATGTCTGGTTGGGAGCCCCTTGGCTGGGCTGGCACTAAGCGTCGTGTAGACCGAGGTGAGCACCACATGGTGTCCATGCTCCCAGCTTCTTACCCTAAAAGGTTTTGTGTGTTTCACAGAATAGCTTGGTTTCCAGACCTGAGCTGGGAGCAGACCCTGTGAATGAGGAAATACTTCCCTGTTAGTGTCTCAGGCTTGGGGCTGTGTTCTGGAGAGAGAACCTGTGACTCAGGTAGTTCTGAGGATTATTTTATTTAGTTCTCACAATAAAGGCTTGTGGGTAGATCTTACTAGTACTTTCATTTTGCAGATAGAATGAATGAGGCTATGGAATAAATGGTACTGGCTGAGCATCAAGCTACTGCCAACCCCTGGGCTTCTTCCCTCGATGGTATCTCTGTAGTTCAGGAACAGCTCCGTCTCCAAACCTGTGCCAGGGCAGTGCCTGGTTTGGTGGTCATTTCACTTCTTATTCAAGCCTCTCCTTCTTCATTTCACCTGTTGGGTCTCCAGTTTAAGCTGTGTGCCAGTGGTTGGTGTGTCCATTGCTTCGTGGAGTCATGCCCTGACTGACCTTCACCACATCCTGGACCATCTGCAATTGCTACTTCCTCTCTGCTGCAGCCATGATTCAGAGCCCCTCGTTCAATTCTTCGTAAAGCCTGTATCAGCGATGGTGAATTGTAGTCATCCTACTGTGCCGTGGGACATTACAGTTTATCCCTCCTGACTGTGTTTTTGGTACTCTTTTCCCAGTCTTCCTTTATATGGCCTTTCTTCTCTCTCCTGGTCTCTAGTAATCATAATTCTACATTAAGATCAAATTTTTTTAGCTTCCATAGATGATAAGATCATGGAGTATTTATGTTTTTGTGTCTGACTTACTTCACTCACTGCAATGGTTTTAATGCCACCTGTTTTCTGTAAAGAACATTTCCTTTGGCTCCATACCCATATATAGGAATGCTTAATCACATGAAGGATCCAGTTTTAATTTTCTGAGCCTCTTTCACATTGTTTTCCATAATGGATGCTTTAACTTACTTTCCGACCAGCACTGTACATGTTCCTTTTCCTTAACATCATTATCAGCATTTGTTATTTTTTTTTATAATAGCCATTCTAACTGGGGTCATATGAAATCTCATCATGCTTTAGACTTGACTAAGGATTGTTTTGTGTCTTACTCCATTTATTTCTTATTGCTACAGGACATCTCAAGATTTCCACCTAATTGATGGGGAACTGTACAGAAGTGACACAGTTCATCCTCCTAGGACTAACTGACACCCCAGAGCTGCAGGCCCCTCTCTGTATCATGTTTACTTTCATTTACCTCGTCACTGTGGCTGGAAACCTAGGAATGGTTGTGTTGATCCTCCTGGACTCTCATCTGCACACTCCCATGTATTTCTTCCTTAGTAACCTGTCTCTGGTGGACTTTTGCTCCTCCTCAGCTGTCACTCCCAAGGTCACGGGTCAGCTCCTTACAGGGTACGAATTCATCTCCTACAATGTCTGTGCTGCTCAGATGTTCTTTTTTGTATCCTTTGCCACTGTGGAAAATTACCTCTTGGCTTCCAGGGCCTATGACCGCTATGCTGCAGTGTGCAAGCCGCTACACTACACTACCACCATGACTACAGGTGTGTGTGATTGTCTGGCCACAGTCTCCTATGTCTGTGGTTTCCTGAATGCCGTTTTTCACACTGGAGACATAGTCAGTCTCTCATTTGGTAACTCCAATGTGGTCCATCATTTTTTCTGTGATGTTCCAGCAGTCATGGCTCTGTCTTGCTCTGATACACATCTTAGTGAAATGATTCTGGTTTTTATGTCAAGTTTTAATGTCTTTTTTGCTCTTCTGGTTATCTTGATCTCCTATCTTTTCATATTTATCACTATCTTGAAGATGCACTCAGCTCAGGGATACCAAAAGGCCCTGTCCACCTGCGCCTCCCACTTCACTGCTGTCTCCATCTTCTATGGGACGGTCATCTTCGTGTACCTGCAACCCAGATCCAGTCACTCCATGGACACCGACAAAATGGCGTCCGTGTTCTACACCATGGTGATCCCCATGCTGAACCCACTGGTCTACAGCCTGAGGAACAATGAGGTCAAGAGTGCATTCAAGAAGGTGACTGAGAAAGCAAAAATTTCCACATAAGAGTGGCATTTTAGCTTGTATTGTGCCTAATTATTTTAATTCATTGCTCTCAGATCTTCATGCAATGAGTTATATTTAAGGTACACAAAGCATAAAAATTTCTAAGTTAATATCCTTACATCTTTGGAAATCTGTTGTCTGATAAAATAAAACATTTCAGAAATGTAATACCTATAGGAGCAAGGCTGAGATGAATTATTAGAAGTTTCGGGACTTTCTTGTGAAATCTTCATAATGATATTTGGTTTATTTATTGGTTCTATTTTTTTCCCTATCACATTTCAAAACAAGCATACATGGTAAACAGGAAACAAACAAACAAACAAATATATATTTCCCCCTTGTGGGCACATACACATTGGAGTGGGAAATTTGTCAGAGGTAAATGGAGTATGACTAGTTTTTAATAAAAATAACCCAAACAATTAATTGGATTTATATATCTATTTTTATTTTCTAAATAAACATTACTTTTACAGCTGTTTTAGTTTCACAGCAAAGGCGACATGAAGGTACAGATATTTTACATATACGCTTTTCCTCCACATACACATAGGCTCCCCCATTAGCGATACCCTCCTCACACACAGTGGTACATTTATTATAACAGCTGAAGCACATCACTCAAAGACTTTTTTCTATACTGGGATTCACTACGGGTGTTGTATATTTTATCAGTTTAAACAAATGTACAAGGTATAAAAATATAGCGAATGCTTAAAAATTTTTATTAGAGTAAAAGACACATAGCCACAATCTCCCTCAGAATACCCGTCACTTCACACTTACCCCATCCTCTATGCCCCTCTCTGGAGCAGCTCTGGAGTCCTCTTTCGTGAGTGTCTTTTCTTGTGCTGTTGTAGCTGCCTCAATGTCCTGAATCAGTTCAAAATGTTTCCCTTTCATGGGTTGATTTGGGAGAAAAACTAGAAATTGCACAGTGCTAGACCTGGTGAATAAGGTGAACGAAGACACACCATAATGTTTTTATTGGATAGAAATTGCTGTAAAAATTTTTAATCATTTTGAATTGATTCAGAACATCAAAGTAGCCCCAAAAAGATACTCAATGAATTAGGATATCCTGAACTGCTTCAGAAAGTGGCAAGAATAATGGGATAAGTGTGTTCAAAGCAAGGGGAAATATTTTGAGAGGAGTTAATAGCCATGTATCTTTTACTGTAATATTTTTTGAAAATTTAAACATTCATCACATATTTAGATCCCACCTCATAAGACATGTGCCCCTCATTACAGTACTGTTTAGCTTCACTGCTCTAAAAACTTTGTGCATTCTTCCTATTCATTGCTTCCTTTTCCTTTGCCCCTGGTAACAACTGATATTTTTCTTTCCAGTTCTGCCTTTTCCAGAATGCTGGATAGTTAGACTCATACAGTAGTGGCTTGATTTCACATTGCATTCTTTCTCTTAGTAAATATGCATTTGCTTCCTTCATAGCTTTTTGTAGCTTAACAATAGCTCATTTATCTTTAGTTCTGAATAATCTCACATTGTCTGGATGTGCCACATGTTATTTGTTCACCAACTGAAGGAGGTTTTGGTTAATTCCAACTTTGACAATCGTGAATAAAGCCTTTGTAAACATCTATGTCTCAACTGTTTTTTCTTTGCCATCACTGCAATTCCTTCTTATTTGCACTGTTAACTCTTAATACCACATGTATACTTTGAATGTAGATGTTCTTCAGTGCCTCATCCTCAGTTGCTTATGTTGTCTGTTTTTATTGAATGTTTCATTTCAAGAACAGGTAAAAAAATGAAACACTTATGATTGTTGGATTATCTGGCAATTCTATTGTTAGATATTTGAGGAGCTACCTTACAGTTTTCCATAGCAATTTTATGTCCCCACCAACACCAGCATCTCACAGGTCTGATTTCTCTGAACCCTCATCAACCTTGGTTACCTTTTAAAAATAATACCTATCCCAGGTATAAAATTATAATTGTTCATGGTTTGATTTGCATTCTCCTGATGATTAAAGATGCTGAATTTCTTTCTTTAAACCTATTATCCATTTGTTGTTTTCTTTGAAGAAATGTTCATCAGTGCTTTGCTTATTTTAAAATTGGGTTATTTGTTCTTATGCTATGGAATTGTAGGAGTTCCTCATATATCATTGATCCCTTATGACATAAATGGCTTGAAAATGTTTTCTCTCATTCCATGGATTGATCATTCCACTGATTGCTTCCTGTGCCATACTGAATCTTTTTAGTTGGAATAATCTCACTTGTTAATTTTTGTTTTGTTTCTTGTGCCTGTTGTTTTGGACCTAAAGAAATCATTGCCAAGCCCAATGACATGTCCTTCCACTGTTTTCTTCAACTTTGATCAAATTCAGTTTGTCTATTTTTTCTTTTGTTGATCATCTGATGTAAAATCCAAGCAATCCAAGGCCATATTTCCTTCTGTTTTATGGCTTTTAACTAATATTTATGTTATTAATACATTTTGAATCGATCATCTTTGACTTGAAATAGGGATCCAATTTCACTCTTTTATATATACATACCATTTGTTAGAGTATCATTTTTTGAAGAAACTATTCTTTCCCTCTTTATATGGACTTAGAACCCAAGTCAAAAGTCATTTTTTTAGGTTTCTGTTTCAATTCCATTATTACTTATGTACTTAATATATGATACTACCCTTGTAAGTGTAATACATTTTGAAATTGGAAGGCTTATCTTTCTAATTTATTGTTATTATGTTCAAGATTGTCTGGTTTCAGGGCCCGTTGGCATTCCATATCAATTTTTGCAGCTTTTAATTCTTCTGCACACAGGCCACTGGTACTCTCATAGGGATCTCCTTAAATCTTTAGATCACCATACAGTATTGTCATTGAAAAAGATTAAGCCTTTAAATTAGTGAACCAAGAATGTCTTTAGATTTATTTAAATTTCCTTTAATTTCAGCAAATTTTTGAGTTTCTAAAAGTAGACCTTATATACCCTTGGTTAAATTTAATGTTATTTAGATGCTATTATAAATGGAATGATTTTAATTTTTAGATTGTTAATTGCTAATATGTAGACATATGGCTGATTTTGTTTAGTGATCTTGAATCACTTTGCTGAGTATATTAGCTATCAAATGCTTTGTATATTCTTTAGGATTTGTTTTATATAAGATCATATCATCTGAAAACATAGTTTTATGTCTTTTCCAATTTGGATAGATTTTATTTCTTTTATCATGACTAATTACTCCAACTAGAACATCTGGTACAGCTTTAAACATGGCAATGTGCAGGGAACTGGGAAAGGGGATGTGACTAGAACCTCTGCAGTAAGTCCTAGTCTCCTGGGAGCCACGGCAGCACAAGGCGAATTACAGGAAAGGTAGAAAA